CTGAAGCTGTGAACAATCTCAATCTCTTCGCCATCCATCCTGATGCTACCAATTGGTCCAGTGGTGAGAATCTTTGTCTTCTTGACATTGAGCTTCAGTCCATACTGAAGGCTGCAGTCCTTGACCCTCTGCAGCAAGTGCATGAGGTCCTCCTCAGTTTCAGCGAGCAGGGTTGTGTCCTAGTAAGTATAATATAGGCATTTTACAAGTCGCCAGACATGCCTGGAGACTATGACCTTGGTCACTCTTCAAGCTGCCTCCTTACTATTTCTGCTCTGAGTCAGTGGGAGCTAGGGAAGGTTCAGGAGCAAAGGAGGAGTTTAACCTGACTCAGGTGCTCACAAGCGCCCCCTGTGGGGGAAACAGCCAATTCAATCCGCTAAAGGTTAGTTTCTCAGTGGACCTGTAGGTTCCCCAAATAAAACCAAATTATCTGCCTTCGGGTGGGCTCTTACTCATGGCGACCCCATGGGTACCAGAGCAGAACTGTGAGGTCGATCTGCTGGAAGCAGATTGCCAGGCCTTTCTTCCTAGGTGCCTCAGATTATATGCAAACTTCCAACCCTCTGGTTAAGGACAGACAGAATTAACCATGTGCACCACCCTAGGACTCTGCATTATGAATACCAGTGACTCTCATCTGACTCGCAGTGACTTTACACAACAGAGGAGAACTGTCCCATAGGGTCCCCAAGGCTGTAATCTTGATGAAGACACATCTTCAGCAGACTGGTGGGTGGATTTGAGGCCCTATGCTTTCATTAAACAGTGGAGCGCTTCACCACTGTATACCACCAAGACTTCTTATACAGCTTCCATTATGGAAATGCTATTGACGAGCTAACCAGAAGCCAGGAAATCAAAAGACAAATCATATTGGAAAAGTCTGCTGTCAGGGACTCTCTCCAGAGCACTCAAGAGCAATGACGTCAATCTGGAGACTAAGGTGCGCCTGATCTAGGTCATAGTCTTTGCTATTACTTGCTATGTGTCAGAGAGCTGGACAATGATGAGGGATGACTGGAGAATTGATGCCTTTTTTTTTTTAAATATTTTTTTAATTTTATTATTTTTGTGTAAGTGTACCGTCAAATCAGATCTGACTGGTACA